AATGTACTCTATAGAAAGCATGTTATTTTTCAAAAGTTGGGTATTATGCAGTGACTAAAGAGTATTTTAGTTACACTAAATCGACAATATTCATTCTTTATACTCATAACTTTGTCCAAAGATAATCTTTTTGTGATTTTTTTTTTATATTATTAGACACTAGATTCAATGAGTTTTCCAACCTATGGGTCACATAATTTTATGGAATTTCACATGAAGCAGTTTATTTTTTAAAAGTTGGGAATTGTGTAATTTAGTTACGATATTTTTCATTCATAAATTATTAACTTCTTCTATAAATAAGATTTATGTGAAATTCAGTTTTATTTTAAAAACTAGACTAGACTAAAAAGTATGTGAAAATCCCATAAAAATTGTCTTTTACAATGTTCAAAATATATATTTAACAAAACTAAATAGTTGGTATATGTGAAAATAATTATGGTAAATTTGGTAGGTTTGTAAATAAATATATATGAGATGTATATGTGTAATATAAAGTCGGTTGTAATTATGTGTTTGCGTTTAATGAATCTATCATTTCGAAAAAGAAAAAAACCATTGAAGATGCTGTTAGTCTTTTTTTTTTTTCAAACGGCATAAGCATACACATAAAAAAGGCCAAAAAGGCAATGTACATAGGCGAGCCTGAAGGCGAGGAAATGGAAGGTTACACACACAACTAATGTAACCTAGACGGAATACCAACTATGAAAGCTAGAATGACCGGCACACAACGACACCAACACCAAACTAGAATCACAACGAAAAAAAAAACATAAATAAAAAGACCCCAACAAGGTAATACCTGAGTGTAAACTCCCAACAGGAGAATAAAGGCTACACCCGGGCCAAACCGGGGCCAACGACCCAAACAAAAAACACATAGACCACACCAACACAAACACAACGATCACACAACAAAGATAAACAGAAAACATAAACAACAATAAACGAAAACGGAGCCCTTCCACTGCGAACCGAACTAAGCACAACCAGCAGTGAACGACCGACACAGAGAAGACCTCGAGCCCAAGAACCGCTACTGAAACTGCACGAACGCCTATACAGCAGGTGAATTCAACCTCCGAGACAATCCCGAATCGACCCATCTCTAAGAGCCCCAACCAGCCCCCACGCCAGCCCACCGAACTCGTCTAACACCACTAGCCAAGCTCGATAGGACCCAATCCCCCGCCGCCTAACACCACTAGCCGACCAAGGAAAAGCATGAGTGGCCCGGGCCCTCAACCCCAACTGTCGCACCAGACCGACATAACAATTGGGATCCCGCCCCACTCACCGGCTCTCGCACCCCCGACACCACCACAAATTGCCGAAGATCAACGGCAAAACCCCACCAAAAACAGGTGAAAATCCCGCCGGAGAGCCACAACCCAACATCCACAAAAGAGGACCAAGCGAAGTGCAAAAACACCGCGAACCAGAGCACCGCTGACAATTGAATAAAGAGCCTCCAATTGTTAGCCGAACGCCGGCCGGGCGAGTCATCATCTCCCACCGAGACCGCATCAGCGACCACAGACCGACCATCGCACCCCAAGCAATCCACAGCCACATTGAAAGCGCGTTGAACCGGGAGTGGGCCAGACGGTCAAGGACGACCCCTGGTCGAGCTAATCTGTCGCGGAGGAAGGCGATAGTCATAATAATTAAAATGCATGCCAAAATAAATAATTATTTTATGTTAGTGCATTTTAGGATGCGATGTTTTCAAACCCGACTTGCCAACAAATCTGATCTGGCCTTTGGTCGCCCGATCAACATTCACATCAACCCGGCTCGCTAACTAATCCGTTCTGACCCTTGGTCACCCAATTAACATTCACATCAACAGGTCGAGAACGTAATTAAATTAGCTTAAATATATATAAAATAATAAAAATAAAAAATTTATATATTATTATATGAGCGATGCTAAAATCCCGTTACGATAATGTAATCATCAGATAGTTGATCTAACGGTTACAAACCCCAACAAAATTATTCCGCAACGGGACAGTAGCATTTCCCTTATTAAACATTGGGGTGGGTAAAACTGCTGATACGGTGAACCACGAGGAGAAGAGTGCAAAATCCAGTATGCCTGGGACCGGTCCGGTTCTTATCAATTTTTTCAGGAACCGAAACCGGAACCGAACAAAAAAAAATGGCTCGGTTAACACATAAAAAATTGCAGGAACCGAAAAAGAATCGAACCGGTTTATAACGGTTCGAGTTTTTCGGTTATTCGGGTAACCGAATAATAAAATAACCGACAATAACCGATTTTGAGGTAAGAACCGGTCCAAAAAATGCAACTCACGACCTAAAGATATCATGAAAAACCGAGAACCGAACGCAAAAATGAAGAATCGGAACCGATTCATACATATAAACATATAAAATATGCATATTTTCACATATATCATTTGTTCCTCGGTTAATATGCATACACTTGGAAAGGAACCGGGAACCGGAACCGAAACATGCAAAAAATAACCGAAAACCGAAAAATAGTTATTTTTTTTAATAATCGGACCGAACCAGTTTTTTTTGGTTCGACTGTATAAAATCCCACCCCTAAAATCCAGTAACTTATAAATAAAAATAAATGGAAATAAAGAGAAGCAGAAGACCCTGAAAATATCATACCATTATCCACCGTTTGGGGCATGCCGCTAGAACTCTGGTATGTGTGTGGCCCTCGCTTTTGCTCCCGGCAAAGTTCAAACTCCCCAAAAACAGCATATTATTGCTTGTTCCT